AAAAAAAAAAAAAAGAAGAAAAAGCAACCTCCTGAACATACCCCATTTATAAATAATATGAAAGCCTCCAAAAATAAGAGGGTTAAAAAAAAAAAACTAGATTGGAGAAGAATCTGTATAACATGCGTCAATCCCTGCATTAATGTAGATGCATAAATCTATTCCTGTCTTTAAGTATCTCACAGGTTGGAGAATGCCTTTTCTAGACCATCTGATTTTCATGTCTGATCTTCCTTAAATGTCTTCAAGTTTATTCTGAGAGTGGTGGTGTTTAACCTTTTGAGTCTCCCTTTGTGCCTCATAAAAGCTTTGTTTACATTTCCCAGTAAAAAGGTGTGTAGATAATTTTAATGGGTTCATAGATACCTGGCTTTAAAACCTTAACTTCTAATTTTTAAAAAAATATACTTTATTTTTTTACAGCAGTTTTAGATTTTTAGCAAAACCAAGTAGAAGTTACAGAGATTTCCCATATTCCTTCTGCCCCACACATGCATATCGTTATCAACATTCTCCACCAGAGCAATACAATTGTTACAATTGCTAAATCTTCACCAACACATTATCCTCACCTAGAGCCCATGCCCAAAAGTTTTTGATTGCTTATCCCTTTAATAAAATTATAATCCATATTGTTATAAATATATATATATATTGTGCATGCTTAAAGGATGTATATATTTAAAATCATGTATACATACTATGCCACTTGTGTTTACATTAGAAAACATTTGTTGAGAAACTGAAAAAGAAATAATTAAAAACAAGTATGAAGGAGGTCTAATTTTTTTCTGCACTGTCCAGCAGATTATGTTGTGTGCCATCTGGAATACATGTATCCCTCTTAGGTTCCTCTGGTCTGTACATGTGCCACTTTTTACTCCTGAATCTCCACATTAGTCTTATTTTCTATGAAAAGTTGTGGAAAAGAAAAATTTTCTTTTCTATTTTTATTTTTATTTTTATTTTTTTGAGACAGAATTTCGCTCTTGTTGCCTAGCCTGAAGTGCAGTGGCCCAATCTCAGCTCACTGCCACCTCTGCCTCCCAGGTTCAAGCGATTCTCCTGCCTTAGCCTCCAGAGTAGCTGGGATTACAGGTGCCCACCACCACACCTGGCTAATTTTTGTATTTTCAGTTGAGATGGGGTTTCACCATGTTGGCCAGTCTGGTCTCAAACCCCAGACCTGAGGTGATCCATCTGCCTCAGCCTTCCAAAGTGCTCGGATTACATGTTTGAGCCACTGCACCTGGACAAGAAGAATTCTCTTAAGACACTGTGTTAGACCTTTGGACTGTAGATTATGTTTAGGCTGTTTACTGAGTTGTTTTTATGCTTCTCTCTCCATTTTAAAACCACCCAGTGGTTTTAAAGCAAGAATTCTCACCTCCACAGAGAAGTCTCAAACTGAGGGTAAAATAAATGCTGGCCACCCCACCATACCCCATTCAGTTCCCTCTAACAGGCACTCTCTGAGACTTAACTTCAAAAGAGTGTTAAGTTCTAACCCTGGTCAGTATTGTAATTGGAAAGATATCTCGTACCAACTGCTTTGAATAACTGTTTCTTCACATTAAGAAGGCGGTAGTTATCTTGGTGTGTCTTGTTTTCATCTCCTTTTCTCCAAAGGATGCTGACCTGTTGGATATTGAAAGCAAACACTTTGAAGACCTGGAGTTCCAGCAGCTTGAACATGAGAGCCGTCTAGATGAAGAAAAGGAGAACTTGACTCAACAGCTCCTGCGTGAAGTTGCTGAATATCAACGGAACATTGTTTCTAGAAAGGTACTTCTGCCAGGTGTCATTCAATGTGAAAAATCAAAAAATACTTCTGTTTAACGTAGCTATGACATATGTCTGTCTGAATATCACATTTGGCAGATGACAGAGCCTGCCATATATGTGGCAAATGGTGTTCCAAAATAGACAAGTTGAGACACATTACAGTCATTGTTACCTAATGCTGTAGAGGCATTTATGAATAATACCTAATTTTTTCATTCATGTGAAAACCAAGGTATGGAAAATCGGGAATTCAGATATTTGTTTTAAATTATTTTCTTTTGCAATTATAGTAACTGGGTTCAGAATAATTCTATGAACAAATTCTATTTGGGAATTTTCTCTGTTTTCATTGCTCAGTAGTTCTCAAAATTGGCTAATAGCTTATTACCATTAGGAGAATGCCATGCAGATTACTGCTTACTCCACCCAAGCCCCTAGCACTTAGTTATCCAGCCCAGAATTCAACTTTGTTCCAGAATTTAGAATCACACCCAGGGCTCTGTACTAAACCAATAAAATTGAGGAAAGGAAAGACAAGAGAAAGTGTTTTCTTAAACTCTCAGCTTAAATGAGAAATTCCATTGTTTTTTTCTCAGGAGGCATACCCAAGATGTAAAAAATTCATTGATAGTCTAAAACAAGATTTCCTGTTGACTTCTGGGTTCTTCAAGATAGGTTTTAAATCACTTGAACTATATTAGCCTTAAGTAAAGGAAGTATTGAGGCTGACAGGTCAAAGAAATACCTCACAGTCTCTTGGTAATAATCACTGCCCACCATCAAATAAAGGTAGTCACTGTTATTCCAGTTGTGAAAATATTTTTCTCCCTTTTCTAGGACAGACTGGAAAACCTTTGAATGTTTAACATTCATCTTCCTGTGATCATCTCTTTTTCTCCAGGAAAAAATTTCTGCATTGAAAAAGCAAGCCAATCACATTGTTCAGCAGGCTCAGAGAGAACAAGATCATTTTGTGAAAGAAAAGAATAATTTAATAATGATGTTGCAAAGAGTAAGTATTTCCTTTTCAGCACTGACCACAGTGAAACATAGCTTCCAACTTTAGGGAAGTTGCCTTCTTTAAAGTAAATAGTAAATACCGTTTTTTTTGCTTTTTGTTTTTTGTTTTGAGACAGAGTTTTGCCCTTGTTACCCAGGCTGGAGTGCAATGGCGCAATCTCTGCTCACTGCAACCTCCGCCTCCTGGGTTCAGGCACTTCTCCTGCCTCAGCCTCCTGAGTAGCTGGGATTACAGTCTCGTGCCACTATGCCCAGCTAATGTTTTGTATTTTTAGTAGAGACGGGGTTTCACCATGTTGACCAGGATGGTCTCGATCTCTTGACCTCATAATCCACCTGCCTCGGCCTCCCAAAGTGCTGGGATTACAGGCGTGAGCCATGCACCCGGCCCAGTAAATACCTTTTAATAGTGAATGCTGTACAATTTAAATAAGATTTTTATATATTCTTTTGTTTAATCCTCCACATTAATAATCTGATACTTGAACTATTAACTACCGTTTAGAAATAGGCAAGGATGTTTTCTTCATGCTTTTTTCACATTGTAAAAATCTAAACTATGGAAAATCTGTATTTTTAAATTATTGTTTTCCTCTTTTAAAAAAATTATTCATCAAACAGTTAAAATGCATTCTAACATCAATTTAAGGTGGGCTTAAGGAAAAATGTCGTTTTTACTACTGTCAAATGTTTTGGCACAGCTGATCTGGTGTTTTGAAATCTAGTTATTTGTGTGTGGGTCTATCTAGCAAATGTCACGTTGCATTTAGTTTGAATTAATTGGGTAGGTAGATACTCCATGTGGTATAGTCAGAGGGATGGCAAGATTATCCTCACCAAAAAGACTATGTCATCTTCTGGCCCAGCACCTAAAGTGACTGCCTCTAAAGGGATTTCTTTGCCCAAAGACAGTGAAAAACAAGCTGTAGCCTAACTTTCTGACTGGTCTCTAGTTTCATTTCAGCAATAAGACACCAAACGTTAAAGTTGATGGGGCTAGTCTCAGATCCGATCCCTGCATTCAAGCCGCTACATTAGAAATATGACACTTGGGATCAGGAAAAGGTGTGATAGACTCAGAATGGGATGCAGAGAAAGACCAAATCCAGAAGAAAGTATTAAAGGATGAAGCTGTACCATAGTCCCACCTAAAATAAATGAGTATTCATTCCCTTCTTAGCTATTTTAGGTTAAGAAGAAGGAGGAGGGCCTGACACTGTGACTCACACCTGTAATCCCAGCATTTTGGGAGGTTGAGGCAGGCAGATCACGTGAGGCCAGGAGTTCAAGACCAGCCTGGCCAACGTGGTGAAACCCCATCTCTACTAAAAATACAAAAAATTAGTTGGGCATGGTGGCACATACCTGTGATCCCATCTACTCAGAAGGCTGAGGCAGGAGAATCGCTTGAAGATGGGAGGCAGAGGTTGCAATAAGCCAAGATCACACCACTGCACTCCAGCCTGGGCAATCAAAAAAAAGAGAGAGAGAGGACATAGGTCTTTTGCATAGAATTATGAGCCCACCTGAGGTGCCTCTGCACTCTGCACATATTTCTGACAGCTTCGATCTTCCTCCTTTTCCTACCTAGAAAGCTTTAAATGGAGTTTTATTTTCCCTCTCAATCCCCTGTTCCAGGGGTGAACTCTGTTTCCATTAGCGTCCTCACTGCTGTTTTACCTTTTGAACACCATATTCAAAGGCACAGCTTAAATTAGATAGTGTAATATGTAGTATTTAATATTTAAAAAAATTTTAACCAGAAAAAGAGAAAAACAGTAATAGATTTTATAAAATGGATAAGCACATCACAGATATAATATTTTCCTATTAAAAATATATAAAATACAATTTGATTATAAAAATTGTGGTCTATAAGTATTAAGATATTTATTTTTCTAAACTGATCTATAGATAAATTTTAATCCCAATCAAAATCCCAATAGACTTTTTTCTAGAAATTGACAAGTTGATGCTAAAATTTACAGTTGATCTTCATTATTCAGAGATTCTGTATTTGTGATTATGTCTACTTGCTAGAATGTATTTGTAACCCCTAAATCAATATTTGTGGCCCTTTTATAGACATTCACAGACATGCACGGAGTGGTGAAAATTTTGAGTTGGCCAATATGCACATTCCCAGCTGAGGTTGAACAAGGCGGCATCCCGCCTTCTTTTATCGCTCATACTGTAAACTGGTATCATTTTTGTGGATTATTCAATGCCATGTTCTTACATTTTGGGTTTTTGTTGGTGATTTGCCACATAAAATGCCTCCTAAGCATGGTGATTACATGTGAATAAATGCTCCTAAATGCAAGAAGGTTGTGATGTGCCTAATGGAGAAAATATGTGTGTTAGATGAACTTCATTCATGCTGTTAAAGTGTTGCTGACTGTCAGTTGAATGTTAATGAATCACCAATATCCATCTTAATGTATAGTATAATATGTTACATAATGGTATATAATATTAAGTAAGGTGTCTTGAAACAGAAGCACACGTTAAAGAAAGTTTAATATTGATTAGTTGAGCTGG